CTCCTCGGGCCCTGGGCCCCGCGGCCCCCGGGCGACTCCTTGGCCTTTGGGGGACGCTTGGCCTTGGGGAGCTGTGCCACGAGGGGAGAGCAGCCCCCCGCAGCCATGTGTCTGGTCTGAAGGGTGCGTCTCAGGTTGCTGGGCCCTGTGTGGGGCAGGGCTGGCGGTCCTGGTGGTGTTCCTCTGGGATGTGAGCTCTGGGAGGAAAACGGCTCTCGCGGGCCCTGAGTTCAGCGTGACAGGCAGGGCCAGGCACAGGCTCCTGACTCCGTGTCCTGCCAGCGCCACCCGGCCCACCCCACGCGCTCTGGCTCACTCGCCAAGTCTTGTCCGGCACAGGCCCTGGAGGGTGGGGTGCCCAGTGGCCCCTGCGGGAGCTGGAGGCGGATGGGAACACCACGCACCCCACAGCTTTCAGGGTCGGGCTCCTAGGGCGTGGCATGTTCTGGCTGTCACAGAGAGAGCGACCATCCCCCTGCTCCCCTGGCGCGCTCCTGATGCAGGTCCAGGCGCGGGCACTCCTTCCCCCAAAGGGCGGGCACATCTCAGGGGGCAGGGAGGCCTGTGCGCGCCCTTTGCACTGTGCCCATTCTCACACCCAGCGGACGGCATCATGGGCCTGACGCTCAACGCCATGTGCCCAGGTGGCATGTTATCGGGCTGGACAGGCAGTCGGGGTGTCCCTCCCGCTGGACACGGTCCCACCCACACCCCCTTGCGGTCAGAATGCGCCCATCGTTCTGGAAAACGGGGTGCCCGAACCCTAGGATTTCTCCAAAAGGCCACAGGCCGGGCTGCATGCACGGTGGGCCGAAGGGTCCCTCCAGATCCCCATGTGGGAGCCCTGGTGCCCAGGCTGGAGGAGGAGCCAGGGCCCTGGGAGCGGCGAGGAAGGTAAAATCAAGTCGTCTCCCTCTGAGGGTGGCCTCAGCCCGCGTCCGGGCTACTTACAAGGAGAGAGGAGGATGGGATAAAAGGCAGCCACGAGGACCACGTCCACTTTTAAAAAATATAGATATTTTTATTGATTTCAAGAGGAAAGAAGAGAGAGAGAGAGAGAGAGAGAGAGAGAAAGAGAGAATTGGCTGCTTTCTGTATGCCTGCTACTAGTGATGAGAGAGAATCATGGGCCCGCTGCCTCCTGCAGGCCCCCCACTGGGGATCAAGCCCGCAACCCGGGCCTGTGCCCCGACCGGGAACGGAACCGTGACCTCCTGGTTCCTAGGTGGATGCTGAACCCCTGAGCCACGCCGGCTGGGCCCACGTCGTCTCATACCTGAGCGGCCACTCTCTGGGGCACCCGCTGGTCCTGACGCTCAGCTCCTGAGGGACCAGCGGTGCCCACACAGGCCCAGCTCAGGTGCGATCCTGAGCTCCAGGTGCTGGGAGGCTGGTGACCAGGACAAAGGCACAGGGGACCGAGACAGAGGCGACCCCGGTGCTTAGGAAGAGCTGAGCCCGAGAGTCCGCGCTCTCTTACGATACCCAGGCTGTCAGAGCCCCCCAGTCTTCAGGGGAGACGCTGGACTTCCCACATGCGGGGGGCACCTGGGGGTGGGGCAACGCTGGGGCTCAGGGAGTCCGATGGGATGTCTCTCATTAAGCGCACCGAACAGTGAGGAACCAGCGGGTCTAGCCTATCCCCCCCGCCCCCACATACACACACATACACCTACACACATGCATGCACTCAAACATTCTCCCCATCACAGGAATGACGTGTGCCGTGGCAAAAAAGTCCAATAACGCCCTGGCCGGCTTGGCTCAGTGGATAGAGCATTGGCCTGTGGACTGAAGGGTCCCAGGTTCGATTCCGGCCAAGGGCACATGCCCGGGTTGCAGGCTCCATGCGCAGTGTGGTGCGTGCAGGAGGCAGCCGATCAATGATTCTCTCTCATTATTGATGTTTCTATCTCTCTCCTTCTCCCTTCCTCCCTGAAATCAATAAAGAAATATATATTTTTAAAAAAGTCAAATAACAAAGAAACAGAAAGAGCAAGTGTGCTTTCCTCAATGCATCTCACGCGTCTGTCCCCTGGGTGTGTGCATGGGCAAATCTGACAGCTCAGAGCAGGCGGGGGGGCGGTGAGGGGGGGGGGAGACAGAGGGATGTGCGCCTAACCTGCAGGTCCTACCGGCAGCCCTTCCCTCTGCACAGCCAGAGGCCGCAGGGGACCCCAGCAGCCCTCCCCCCGTGCCCCCTCCTGTCAGGTCCCGGGTGATGGGAATGGAAGGGGCTGGAGGACTCTCACGCTGAGGCTGCAGATGCGCCGGAGACAGGACTGGGGTCCCGCCCGGGTCAGCATCAAGTGCTGGGTTGTCTGTGCAAAGGGGACTGGGTGGTGTAGGTGGGAGAAGCCCCCTCACTTCACTCCTCCTCGTTTTGCTTTCGCAGCTGCAGCAGGGCCAGGAGGCTCCCCGGGCCTGATGGGAGGGTGCCCACCCTGGCCAGGAGCCTGGCGGGCCTGCTGGAGGGAGACCTCACGGGGCTCAGAGACGGGAAGGCAGAGAGGCAGCGCCCGCAGCGCCCCAGGATCGTGGCCCCTCACTCCCTGGCCTGCTGGCAGCTCCAAGGGGGCGGCCGGCTGAGTGAGGAGGGGAGTGCGGGGTGCAGGCCCAGCTTCCCCGCTTCCTAGCCCAGATGTGCAGCGTGGAGGCCTCCTGGGAGGTGAGACCCTCACGGGACTCCGGGTCCAAGCTGCCCTCGGGGGAGACAGGGCCGTCCCGTCCCGGGGCGGTTGGGCGC